ATGGGATGACGCTCGACTTGCCTGGGAGGAGGAGAAGGAGCCCGTTGCTTGCTCGAATGGGAGGAGGCACCGACACCAGACTTCTCTGGTCGAGAGGCACCGTCTTTGGTCTATGATTGGCCCTTGATCCTCTCGACGTTGGCGGGAGTGTCCTTGTGAGCGGACCTCCTATCACCAGATTTCTTCAAGTCCGGCTTATGCAAAAATCCCTCTGCGCGGATAATAGAGTTAGTTAGAAGCTGATCAATAACATTAAACAAATCTAAGGCATGATGATGACTCGAGCACCGGCTCGAGCTGTCTTATTAATTTCAGCAAGTTTGGGGTCAACGCGGATCTGGAGAATGGTCTCGGCGAGAGGGGGTGAAAACGCCTTATGAGTCAAAATTCCACAATAGTGGAGGAGGTTATCATTTTTCGAGCAAAGAAGTAGAAGCAACGGGATTGGAGTTCCACACTTGTATGCGTCGGTCGAAAAGAGGGTTAGCGGCAGGGCGAGCAGGTTTTATGAGTACTTCGGTGAGCCAAGGAATGGGTGCCTAAGGATAAGGCTGCGGAGGGCGTATATACACAAACTGGTCTTTCCACCTCGGCATGTTGGATGGTCGATCAGTAATAAAACAGGCTTTATTTTGGCTTTTCAAATAGAGGCCGTCTGACTGTGTGGAAGCAAAATAGCAGTATACAAAAAAGTCTAAATCTACTCTACCCTGCGGACTATGGACAAAATAATGAAGGACGCTAATGTCCTAAAAGCGTTGGGGGTGATTTGGTTGAGAGGCAGGCCATATAGACCGCACAAGTCGAGCAAAGCCGGGCAGATGGAGAAACGGAGGCGTAGGTCAAAATGGGCACGGAAGAAGGTGTAATAACCGTCAGGAGGGTTATCAAAGGTATCATCGTCACCGGGAGTGCGAGCAGCCCAGGATGGCCAATCGCATCAAAGTCGAGATGGGAAGCACTCGTCGACGGTTTAGAGGGTTTAGACCGTTTGGACGGCTTAGGATGAGGAGAATGAGAAAGCATGGTCGAAGAAACAGGAACACGAGTAGACAGCGGGACATGATCTTGAGGATCGTCCTCGTCTTCAATCTCGTCATCCTGGCCGATAGCTCGACGAGCACGCTCGGGGGGAGGAGAAGTGGGGCAGCTGGTGACCTCGTCCTCAGGTTGGTCGACAAGATAGGTAGAAGGAGAGAGAGCAGTGGCTGTGGGGCTATCACTGGTCGTCGCAGGAGGAAGGACAGAAAGGGGCTCAGGGTGAAGAATTTCTTGCACTGAATCGCTCGATAAACTGAGAGTTGCGAAGGAGGAAGGAGAGGTCAGGTCCTTGCCACTGTGCCGATCATTTTCACTCGAAGTAGCGGAATCTGAGAAAAGAGGGAAGAAAAGAAAAAGAAAAAATTCAATTACTAAGAAAACAAAGAGAAGAAGAAGAAGAGAGAAAATACGGCACAGTGGGAGAACAGAAATCAGAGGAACAAAGTGCGAGGGTTAGAGAGAGGGGAAAGAAAGGTAAAACCAAAAAATTCGAGGAGAAAAGGGTGGACGCAAAAATTAAAAGATTGATAAACATAAATAGAAGGTTAAAGAGGACTTACTCATGGTGAACGATGTTCTGTCGGCTAGAAGATTGAGGACTGTTAAGTTGCAGGAGAGCACGAATTGCAGAAAGCCCTAATGCGATGGAATGCGAAAGTGAGGAAAAGGAAAAATTTCCCTAAGTGTGGGTATTTATAAGGACGAAAAATAAACAGGAGAAATTGCCAACCGCAGGATCATAAAGAGTGAAGGGCTACGATCAGAAGGCAAATGAACGGGCGCGTAGTTTCGAGCCGTAGGATTAAAGTAGAAAATCCAACGACAGGAAAAGGGGATACGTGGAAACAGGACGAGATTCGAGGCAACACGGGTCACGAGATCATCATGACCTCTGACAGACGAAAGGACGCATCCCAAAAGGGCGGACAAGTGGCAAGATTCGAAATTCAAAAGACGCAAAATAGCGGTTAGGGGAAAGAGTAGACGCACAAGAGAGGAGAATGCACTAGACGGTCGAAATAGGTGGAGTGGAATCTCGGTGACATAGACAAGCCTTACTCTTAGATCGAGTCATTCAGACTAGACCAGAGTGGGGGGACTAGATGATATGGGATTTTGTATACTAGACCGGTTCGCCAGGACAACCGAAGAAAATAGGTCGGACCGCTGGATTACCTGAGTTAGGAAAGATCGAGTAACCTGGTCAAGAAAGACCAAGCACCAGCAACAAAGGAGCAGAGAGCAGACAGAAGAGATCAAACGTGGTCGACATATACGGACCACCATGAGTGGTCGGATAAGGCGTGGTCGCAAAAGATTGGTCGAATATCAGAGGTGCACGAGGGAATCTTCAGCACGTGAAAGGAAGGACGCGTGGCGCACTGTGAGTGGCTACGTAGCTGCAACGAACTCTGACATTCTCTGACAAAGAGGACGCGGCTCCTGACACTAAAGATAGTGGAGGCGCGCGGCCGTACGGACGAGCAGAAGACAGTTGGCCGAACTCGCCTGGCTCGCGCGTGCAGCTCAGGTAACTCGCCCTTATAAATAAGGGCGAGAATCCTCATTTTCAGTACGATCTCATACACTTTTATACTTTTTCATACACTCATATTATCTCTCAAGATCTGACTTGAGCGTTGGAGGCTCTTCACCGGAAAACACCTCCGATGTGGGAGTTTCGTGCAGGTTCCGCGTTCAACCGGCGAGGAAAGCAAGCTTAAGGTGAATTCAAGCTGGTCAGGGTGCGAGACTTGTATTAGCCATAGTTTCAGCATTACGACAAACTCGTGTCAAACATATATCGGATTTGGGCGCTCTACCCAAAACGTGGAAACAGTTAGAAGTTTGCACCCATTTTTTTACTTTTTTTTAATATGAATTGTTTCAAATTTATGTATGAAAACATACCACAAGTTTATCTTATGTTATTTTATACTTAATAAAATTGATTTAACTTGAATATAAAATTTATTACATTACAATATATTTTAACACCAATTTATATTTTAAATTAGTACTGATATATATATGTATATATATTATTTTATATCAATATAAATAATTATATTATTTTTATGTTATTGCAATATATGGGTCAACTCAAACATCATTGAAAATAAATGATGTGATATATTACATACAGAAAGGTAACAAATAAAAAATATGAAGTATTTTAAAATTAAAAAAATTTAATGATAGAAAGTAATAAAAATCTTAAGTAAAAAAATTTAAGATTAACATACCCACTTTTATGTACTTAAAAGTTCTAGTTAAAATATATGTGTATTTTAAGTATGTTTTATATTTCTCATTAGCCAGCTTCAATTGATATTGTACATTAAGTAATTTTATTAGCATTTTTACTTTTGGATTTAATGAGAGATATAAGTTATGTCATCATTCTTACCCCTTATTTAGTTATTATAATACTAATAAAATAATTAAGGATCTTTCAAAGTATCTTGTTTATTTTGAAAAAATTACTTTTTATCATAAATTGAACGTCAATTACATTGAATGTGTTATACTTTCTATCGTATCAAAAATTTTCATAATAATAGTTGCACACAATATTATATATAATGCATTTTTTTATATATATAGATTTGGAGTCCTAGTTTTACTACAAGAAAATGAGAAAAATTCCAACAAAAAATACAACAAATATAACGATTTTTTATGT